ATATACCATGGAAATCACACAAACTACCCCCATCTATTATTTTAATAAGGATAAACTTTTCCCAGTTCATGTACACACTAAAGTGAGCCCCACTGTTGAGAAAATACATCGCCATTTGCGGTCTAGCCCGCTGGACATATTTTGTCAGATTTATGGGTGTAATGTTCATGCGCGAGTAATTCCTGTGTGAATAGTATGTGTGACTGAGTACCAAATTTTTAAACAGTATGAAAAAGGGTRAAATCACAGTGGCTGGGCCGGAGTGCAATCTGGTTGTTATGTTTTTCTGWTTTACTCTACACAGATGAAAGTGGGTTACCTAGAAATAACATTTTTTAAAGTAGCGAAGTGCATATAGTCCATATGTCTTTCAAAAGTGTCTTCCCATTCCCCTGGTTGTGGCCAGCTGTCCAGCAGGTCAGAATGACAGAGGGTTGCCCTAGTTTATGGTACTGGGCAGTTGTTCAGTTCATTTCTGAAAACAAATAATTAACAAGAGGAAGACAGATCTAAACTSTCTTGCACAGCCTAAAGAATTGCATAGGGACTAATAAATCATGTAAGTGTTTGCTCAGCTGTTCAGTTGTGGGGCAAAAAGTGGACACTGGTCACAGGAACAACAGCAACAGTATTTTTAATTCACCATTTGGGTTGGTAGGTATTAATCGAAGTCCACTTTAGGCATAGGAGCATTTTCATAACAGATTTTTATTAGAAAATAGCCAGTTCTGTGGCAGATCTTATTTGCCCACCATTTTGTACTCATACAAAGTATGATTTATGTGCAGATTTTCTGTGCTGTGAGATCAAAATAAAGCTGCAAACAGACAGTACCACTAATTCAAAAATGAGAGTTAAATGGATCTGGTTTTGGGGGAAGTTCTGTTTTGCCATTCTAGTCTTACAATTGCTTGCAATTAGTATTCAGAGATTTAATTTGGTTGTATTTCATGATGGAGAAAATATGTATATGTCAGCTTGAATCTTGCCTCTCATGAGTTTTAGATACCATCAATTACAGTTAAGGTTCTTTTGTTRAAGGAAGAATGTATYGCATGACAAGAGGAAATAACATTTTATTTTATGCTAAAGTGCAATAATTTCCTTCTGGGAGACTTTCAATTATGTACGAATGTTTTTCGCAGGCTTTCTGTGTATGCAATATGCACCTGAGACAGTTTTGTGCCAGATAACACCACCTCTTAGTTTCCAAAGGTTTATATGTTCTCTGTGATGTTAACCACATACACTGATTTGGAGGAGGGGGACGACAGYATGACAGAACGGTGACCTTTTTCCAGTGTTGTTGGTTATGGCATAGGAAGCTGTTGGGAAATGATTGCTACAGAGCTGAAAAGATAATCGGATGCAGTTCATTACTCATCTTGTCAGCTGCTCCTGCTACAAGGGATTGTATCACAAGATGTTAATCTGCTTGTGACTAGATTTCAAGGCAAGCATTTTTATTTTGGAGGGGGTGTAAGTAATTTAACATCTTTCAATTTTATTTCATTTTCAGATGCAGGAGCAATGGAAAAATCCTGATTTAAAGTCTCAGAATATTAATTGATAGAAATATTAGTACATCCTGGTGGGTTATTTTACAAATATATGATGATATGTTGCAAATAGCTATTTAATTGCAGAAGTTGTTCTTTTTAGGCTAATTATGAGACAGTGTATTCCTTCAATGATGAAAGTGAGTCTGTTAGCACACTTCAGTGTGTTCTGCAAGACAAGTATTAGACACGAGACAGATTTGGACCAAAAAGAATCCTATCTACACATTGAATCTCTGATGTGGATGTACCCAATGCTCCCATACATTGTCTACCAGTGTGGATATTTGGTGTAAGTGTAAAGGAGAACTGTATTCATTATTTACAGATTGGAAGATGGCAAGAAGGTAATTTTAGCTAGCTGATTTTAGTTTTCTGAAAGTGAAAGACCAAAAAAAGCCATTACTTTCTGGTACTGTGAGTTGCTGCTCACAATGCTGTATGTGAAGCATAGAGGAAGGTTTATAAACTTTCCATTATATTAAGATGAGCCAGTAGATTCGCTGGGCACATTTCAGACAAGCAGAACTGCCTTTTCCTCTTCCAGCTTCATCCTGCCTATCTTTTTAAGTCCTTGAAGAAGCTGTCTGGTACAAGGGATGTTCCTTTAAATTCCTGCTAAGCTAGAGAAGAACATTCCTTTTGCCACCCTTTCTGTGTAATTTTCTAGTATTGATTATTGTAAAATGGAATTGCGTGTTACATTTTAAATAGTTAAATTATAATTGTCATACAGGCACAGATGCAGTCCTGATTAGAATATATTATTTAAAAAAACAAGCAGTGAGAGACTTAAATGCACTTTAGAAATAATATATTGCATTAATGTGTTAGCGCAATAAATTACAGATTAAAATAAAATAAATTGTTTCTGGATGCTCCTGTTTGCATATGGCACTTTTTACTCCCTTAGGAGTATCTAATGCTAATGCCTTGCTGTATTCCAGTTTTGGTAGCTACAGTCCACCCACTTAAATACCCCCTGGTGGATGCGTAGGCAACAGTATTCTCTAGTTCCTGCCACAAACTCTTACATGGGCTTCTCTGTGCTATTAATCAGCAGCTATATTTCATCTCCAGAGAGGCTGCATCTCAGCACTGGACAAACTGAAATCTCCTATCACATGTTATGGAAGCAGCCAGCACTCTGTGCATAGTGATTTTTGTTGGTTCAAAACCGGGGCAGTTATGTTTTTTGCCTAAACATTTTTTGACTAAGTAATCAGTCAGTATGAAATGTTACTTGACTTTTCCCTGTAGCTTTTCCCTTCTGTCCCTCCTCATACATAATACAGTTGGCTGGCTGAGCCATGAGGGCCTTCTTCACTACAAAATTCTGATACTGTTAATGAACACCATTTGCTGAGGTCAGAAGACACAAGCTAATGAGCAGAGGCTAATTGGTATGGCTGTGGCTACCTATGCAAATGTGTGCATGAGAACATATGTTTGTATGTCTAAATTTATATTATATATAGAGAGAGATACATGCAAAAGTTATATATTTCCACAACAACATTAAATGTCATCACACATCTGTTACTTGTCACCATGTTGAATCTGACAATTAAGATAGGACTGTTGATGAGGAGAGGTACCTGCGTGTTTGTTTTCTGGACCCTTTGATCACTGTGTATTCTGCTGAGACTGTGACAGAGGTATAGATGGTGATTAATGACATTTAATGGAAGAAAAAAGTTGTTTGAAAGTGCTCTSTAAGTATTTTTCCACCTCCATTAGATTAGTTAGAATTTGAATTTAGTTATCATGCTTAGATGGTAGCCATTGTTCCAGGCTGGAYAGAGAATGTGAAAACTGATTAATTTATACTTGATGTGAAAGGCCCTTTATTTTAGTACTTTTCACATTCTAAATTTGAAACTCTGAAATAAAGAATTAAGTAATTTCACATTTATGCTATAGCAATAAATTTACCAAAGAAAAGAGATTTTATGCAGTGAATCCTCKGAATCATTTTCTGATATTCTAATTTTACTTTGCCCATTTATGAAAGTCAAGTACAATTTTACAGAAAATACAAACATAGCTATAAATTAAATTATTTCARTTTCTAAATCCATCATTGTCCTCAAGCAGTCAAAATGAGATTCCATAATCCCATAGCATTCAGTATTAATTACCATACATTTTATGAGTCCAACAGCATAAAAGATGTTCTCTCTCAGTTCTTAACACATGACCAATAAACTTTATCCTTCTTTATCTTTAGAGATCAGAGRTAGAGTTGGATGAATTCCTCATTTAACTGCAGAGTTTGTGATGATAATCCTATTTTTGATTATTACTTTTAGGTGTATCAGCATTACCTTAGACTGATTTTCAGGTTTTACATTCGTTCTTTAAGATATTTTTTTTTTAATTGAAACTTGAGCTTGCAGTCTTTCAATGAATAGATCTTCAAGAGGGTTGCAGTGGTACCTGTTAATGAATGACATTCTAAAGACCTTCATTGATTTGCCTGTTATTGCCACTGCAAGTGAAAAGAACATTTTTTTCCTCTATCATCTTCAGTAATAATTCATTTTGGAGTAGCCAGACTTMTAAATTTAATAGGTTATCTCTGCCTTTTTGTGGTCAGTGCAGAAGTTGAACTGACTTTTTTTTCTTTTCTGATTATCATTCTTGTAGTGATTTGGTCAAACTGGATAATGAGCAGTAGGGTCAACGGATGGCATGTACACCATGCAAGGAAGAAAAATTCTGTTCAGAGGGGTTTTCTCCTCCCACGACAACACTGAGCAGTCCTCCAAGTATCTAACAAGCAGGCAGGACAGGATACCCATCCTCATCTCTTGGAAGTTTTTTCCTACCTCAAAAACACAGGGATCAAAGATCACGCTTTAAAACGTTTCATAAGTGCCAGATGTTGGGGGCAGTATGGAAGCAGCCTGCCCCTGGCTGTCCTTTGGGCAGCAGCTCCCTGTATTGCATTTGTGACTCAAGCCCTGCTGGCAGCAGGCAGTGGGGTCAGCCTTGGGGCTCGCTGGGGCTGCTCTGTGGTGCAGTGGTTTGTCCCTGGCTGGAGTTTGCCAGCACATGGTGAAGGCAGTAATTCATTGCTGTGGGGCAGCGAGCACGAGAACTCCCACAGAATGGGAAAGTCACTGCAGTGCAAAGAGATTTTCTAACACRGCTCCTGAGGTGTGCTGCTTTGGGCTGCACTCACACCCCTACAGAGCTGGCAGCATTTCTCTCAGACTTGGAAGAAAATATTTMATTCGAGACAAGACTGAAGCTTTTCTTTTTGTTTTCTCCAAGACTTTTTCTTGCTCTGAACATGAGGGAAACTTCTCAGATTTCACTTACTTTGTTTTTACTTCAGTGGTGAGGGGCACTTTGACTGAAAGCATTTGCATTGTTTGAGATTCTCTGAAAAGAGTGTGTTTTGAAACTTGTGTTCCTTTTGTCGCTTGCTTTCAGGATGGCCAGTCTGATATTTTGTACAAATTTTGGACTGCAGTAACCCAGACCCTTTCCTCTCAGTTTCAGTCAGCAACAGACTGTAAGTATCAGTGTAAATGATTCGTAATGTGTTCTGTAATTATTTTGAATCTCTCTTTTCGTGAAACCTTTGCTTGGTATCTTCTCTACCAGAACTATAGCAGTGGTTCACTCAGTCCAAGGTCTGTGAGTTCAAAACTTTGGAGTATGTAATGAGACAGGATCCTCCTGAACTACGGCTAAATTTTCAGAAAGAAATATTTTCTGTTTCATTAAGTAGTTGTTATCTAATAACTAAAAGTATTTTTCTATCTATGTGGAGGTAAAGGTGTTTGGAATAGTACATTGTACTTCCTAAAGCAAGTGGGTTTGCCAAATTCAAAAATAGTAATTTGATTTGAAAGATAAACTCCTAGTCTTTTCTTGCTAAACACTGATTGGTTGTAATAACCAGATATTAGCCATTTTTTGGACACTTTTAAAAACAGGAGTTACTTCAAAATTGTCTTGTATAAATACAGATAAACAGCTGGTATTCTGACTATACACAATAGTAGATCAAATAATATTAAATATACAATCAAATAATATTAAATATAAATAATGTTTTAACATAAGAGTTCTATTATGAGAACATGCTAGTGCAGTATGCAGTTGGATTATAGGTGAGTTTGGTGCTTTCATAAATACATATTTCATGTTTGCATACAGTGTTTGAAATCCTTTGCACATACAGGTGAAGTGCATAGGATGTGCATTTATCTTTGTGATCTCAGCTATTGCACTGGCCCTTCAAAATATGGTCTTTCCAGGCTTTATAGCAGCAGTGTAATTCTGAGGAACTAGCTGGTGGATTCATGTTCAGTGGTTGCTAAGTAACTAGATGATCCCAAAAGAAAATGTATGCATCTTATGGTAAAACATTAATTTTACTGTTTGCCTTAGCATTGCTTTCCGAGCACTATGTACATACCCCAAACCTCCTGTGGTCAAACTGAACACGTGCTACCTGTCTTCAGCACTCTGTTTTAAGATGGGGAAATTATGACATCAGTCAKTGGGAATAACCAACATTACAGAACTGAGGGAACTCATACATTTTGTCAGCTGTATTTTGTCTAACAGATATTCAGAGCTATTTTATTATTTACAGTTTTTAATCATGTGTTTTATATAAACTTTTATGGGGGATTTCAATGTGCATGATGTTTATTTTGTTACAGCTGAGTTTTGGGGAGACAATGTTTACAGCAAGGGGATTTTTTCATTTAAGTGAGGCATCTGAGAATGTTAATTTTTAACATATAAATTTCTGGTGACTGAATCCACTGACATCAGTCATAGACTCTGGGTCATATAGATCAGAGGAAGATGAGATAACATCAGAAAAATAGTGTAAAAATAGGAATTCATGGCAGTTTAAAGGGTTTGATATTAGATCATGATCTGCTTTTATGAGGTTTGGACAGTCTTTGTAAACATAGCTTCATGACCTAAAATAGCTCTGTGTTTGATAATAAATGTGAATCCTCCTGTATTCAAAATTAGTATATATTTGAGTTGAAAGCACARGCTGGGTGAAATGGGGCAGATGTCTGGAACCTGAAAAACCTACGAGTGAATGGAGCAGTGTTAATCTCYTAATGTAATGGGAAATCTATAGAGTATGAGGGATGTTAGATCAAGATTAACAGTTGCTAAAGCGGTTGTACATTTGTTTCATTTCCTGTTACTTGTGGCAAGCCTTTCAAGGCTGAAAATAATGCTACTTTTTCTGCTGACTTTATCATTCTTTGAAAGTTTAGGAATTGCATATTAAGTACCTTTTTTAAGAAGTGTGCATAAAAGCATATGCTTCCCTCATCACATTTCTGAAAACTTTGGTTCATAGGAGTTAACTTTGTCTGTATAATTGTTATCTTTAAAGTTGCACAGCCATACACTTTTTCTCCATTAAGATATTGTTAGAAAATCTTTAGATTTAGAGAGTTCTAATTACACTTTGGCCTTAAATGAATGAAAATAATAATAAAGTTTGATGCCATTTGTTGTACAAAATAAGTTTTCATATCCAGTCTTCCAGTTGTGGGTTTTATACTGGTGCTTTAGATCCTTTGTCAAGTGCATTTAATGTTACAGTTATGTCACTTTGAAATTAATTATAAATATTGCATTATTAATATTAAACTTAGGGTAACACTGTGTAACAGTGATATAAATGCAAGGATAGAGGTTGTTTATATGAATAAAAAAACTAGTTTGAACTTAGCATTGTATATTGCTTACTGCTTTGTTTTGCAGCCTCTATGTTTTTGAAACAAGCATTTGAAGGAGAATACCCTAAATTACTGAGGCTTTATAATGACTTGTGGAAGCGCCTCCAACAATACAGCCAAAATATTCAGAGGAATTTTAACACGAGTGGAACTACTGATCTATTTGCTGAACTRCAACAAATGGAAGAAGATGCACAGGACATATTCATGCAAAAAAATGAAGACTACGAGTATGTATTATAAACTGTAAATTTGAATTTATGTATAAAATAGAAATCTTTGCACCTTGTAAGAAAACAGATTATTTTTRTAAACTTAATAAACTTACTGTTATTCAAAGTGTCATTGTGGGACAATTTTAAAAAAGGTTTTTTCCTCCTTGCATATACTGCTCTAACACTTTTTTAGAGCTGTCAGGCTTTTCATTAGGCTATATRTCTAACAGTGTTGGGTTGTCTTTTTTTTTTCACTAAGTCTCTGACTATTGGAGGAGTTGTATCTTTTTGTTTAAAAGGTGAAAAAGAATAGAATGGTGAAAATTCAGTTTTGTATGCATTGAGATTACAGCAGTAGCTTTTTCCTAATGACAGTGTCATCATTTGAGTGTGACAAATGCTCAGTTGTTACGATTCACAGTTTTTAGTTTGTACATCATAGAATAAACATGATCTAAGTGATATCAGAAAGATCAAACTGGAACAGGCTCATCAAATCTATTAGGACTTCTAGACTTATGTAAGATAAAATGAATATTTTATGCGAGAATTGTATTGACTTAAATATGTTCTTGAGCAGTCAGTGGGGGACTTATCAGAAGAATGTTTTTCATATGCATGTGTTTAAAGAGCAGAAAGGAAAAACAGGTTCAGTATTGCAAAGTTTGTATGTTTGGAAAGATTTAATGCTATTGTGTATTTTAATTTAAAATGTAGTAACTTTTTCTTCTATCCAAAGTCCAGAAAAGGCCCTGAAAGATTCACTGCAACAATACGAAGCTGCTTATCTATCAAAATCCTTATCTCGACTGTTTGACCCCATCAATCTTGTTTTCCCTCCTGGAGGTCGGAATCCTCCCTCTTCTGACGAGCTTGACAGCATCATTAAAACTATAGCCAGGTATGCACATAGAAGGCATTGCAAAACGTAATACTCAACATGTATTTTTTCATAATTTACAGTTTTAGAAATGAGACTTCCCTAGTAGTAGAAGGTTGATTACTCTTTCATTACAAAGCAGGTTTGTGTAAAGATCAAAAGAATTTAGGATGGGATAGGAATGGGATAAAATAGAATAGCACAAAATAGAAGAGAATATTTCAGTTGGAAGGGACCTACAACAATAAATCCAGTCCAACTTCATGAACACTTCAGGGCTGGCCAAAAGCTAAAACATATTAAGGGCATGTCCGAATGTCTCTTAAACACTGACAGTCTTGGAGCATCGACCACCTCTCTAAGAATCCTGTTCCAGGATTTGACCACTCTCTTGTTAAGGAAGTGATTCCTTAGTGCTGAGTTGAAACCTCCCCTCATACAGCTTTGAACCATTCCCACATCTCTTCTCACTGGATCCCGGGGAGGAGTGCTCAGCACCTCTCTGTCCTCTTCCCCTGCTTGGGAAGCTGTAGAGGGCAATGAGGGCAATGAGTCTGAGTCCCCCTCAGACTCCTTTTCTCCAAACCAGACAAGCCCAAATCCTTCACCATCCCTCACAGCACATTCCTTCCAGTCCTTTCACCAGATTTGTTGCCCTCCTCTGGACACATTCTCAGTCACATGCTTCCTGAATTGTGGGACCTTGAACYGGACACAGTGCTCAAGGTGAGGCTGCACCAATGCTGAATACAGTGAGATGAGCACCTCTTTATTATTATGAATAATAATACATTTTATTTATTTTCTCTATTTTTTTCTGAAATAAATGAAATCTTAATGTAAGTTTAAATATTTAAGCTTATAAAAGATCAGGAAAAGAAACTTTACACATATCTGGTATTTAATTCTTCTGACTGTGTCAAAGGGGAGATGGTGGTTGCTTGGCTGCAAGTGATAATACCTGGTGTGAATATTTTGTCAGAGTAGAACAGCAAGATAGTAGACAATGGTGACTATTCCAGGTGGAATTTGTAGAATGAGATACCTAAATTACCAATGGTGCATTTTCCCTCATAAGCTTTTGTAAGGAGTACTCTGTTTAATGAAGTGTTAAAAAAGATGGGCAGTATTCACAGTRTGTAAAATATTAAATATTGACACAGTACTTGTGATTGGGAGTTACAGTTGCTCAGAACATATCTGAGAGTGATATTATTTTGATCCTTGCAAAAGAGAAAGGAAAAGAACATGAAAATTAGGAAATTTCAGCTGAGTTTTCCAGTGTGACCTTTAGCTAATGATGTTTGGGGCCCTAGAGAGTCCTCAGAGAAGGTTATTGTAGGTTGGGGTGCCTAATGATTGTCCAACTCTTGAGAGAGGTTAATCTCACCATGAACAACAYGGTGGTTCTTGTGCTTGTCTGCCTTCAGCAGAGCAGTTTTGAATGCAGCCCCAGCCAGTTGAGATCTRGGGATGTTCATGAGCAAAAAATACTGGAAGTGATTTAGAAGTCTTTTCCTTCTTCGTTTGTTCCCTGACATTCCTTTGGGGCCTCTTTTACAATAAAGGATTGCCTAAAACACAGCTTATTAGTTGTGTCAAGCTAAGGCATCCCCTGGGTATTTCTGCACAGCTCATGTAATTCCAGAGTTGAATGACTGTGTATTCACCTGTAATGTTTGAAGGCTGCTGCCAAAGCTTGAATGTAGTTAATTGCTGTCAATATTTTTGAATGGCTTACTAATAGTGATTTCATACTGAAGTGTCATTCCTAAACTTCGCTCATTTTTACTAGAATAGGAACACTGCACATAAAATTCCCAACTGAGTTGTTAAATTGTAAACTGAATTTCGTTGCGTGGAAAGACTTGGTTGTATGTGTTACTCTCTCTAAATCGATGAGCCACGTAACTGTGTATTCATAGTTAATTCTTTATCAATTCAGTACAGCTCTGTTTAGTYGTTAATTAGGATTTGTAATCTTTGCTTCCAGTGAGCTGAATGTGGCTGCTGTTGATCCAGACTTGAGTTTAGCTGTGGCCAAAAATGTGGCGAAGACCATTCAGCTTTATGGTGTGAARTCTGAGCAGCTTGTAAGTAATTTTAAATTTCTAAAAACTAATGTTTTTTCATGTACAGTGTTCTGGCTTTTGTAGATTTAGAACATAACAGTAAARCAATCTAGATAGACAAAACCTTCCAATTAACTTTCCATTGTATTTATGAACAGATTCAGTTAAATTCTGCCTTCAGACAAACTCATTCTATTGCTAGCAGTAAAATTGATCTGTATAATTCCAAATCAAATTTGCCATATTAATTAAAAACCCCAAAATTKTAGCTGTCATCAAGTATAATCAAGACAGTTAAATTCAGTTTTTCATTAACCAGCATTTGATGTTACATCAGTTACATGATAGAGCATCTTTATGGTATTAAAATCTGGAGTATTTGAATACTGGGTTTCACTACTTGCAAGAAATTTGGGGGGGGCTTTCCATAATTTATTATTTGCCATATATTTAACTGACCTTTGAGTTCTTTGCATTTGTCATACGTTTCTAATCATTTACCATGCAGTGGTATCTAGTGTTAAAATGAATAGAAGGAGGATCTCCAAAGCCTTATCTTCTGGGTAAGAACCTCCAAAAAGCCTATGGATCATACAGTGAATGTTGTCATCATACAAAAAAAGATCAGATAAAAAATTTTCTCTTAAGGACTGTTGCTGAAATTATTTTTTTTTTTTGTATGAAGGGATGAAAATTAATTTTTGCAATATGCAGACACACCAGAAATGACTAACTRCTTGTATTTGTAAACAAGATTTTCACTTAATAAACAACATTAATTCTGACAGCAGACTCAGACTCCAGTAACATTCATTAACTCTGTTTTATTTAAAGAAAGATGCTAATATTTTTTGTACCAATTGGCTGCAAAACATTGCGGCAAATAAGTTAGTATGGTTTCTGTTTACCTTTTACATATCTGCTGTCTCTGAATAGCTTTGAAAAAATTTAAATTCAGTAATACATACTTTGTTTGCTTTGTCTGTTGAATGAGTTGTCTTGGAAGTTTGCAGACTTGGTGTATGGAAAAGGTATGTAGGTGAAGCAGTCAGGAAGGCCATAAAGARTATTTAAAATTTAAAATAAAAACATAGGTTAACATTTTTTGTTACTGTTTAAACATAGTGCTGAAGTTGGGTCTGGTTTTAAAGATACCAACTCATGGCTTCATATTTTCCAAGTGAAATTTGCTTATGATACAAATGAGGACTTTTAGTAGGTTGTGAGAGTCATGATAGKTAAAAAATAAAATTACTGTCTGTATGTCATGAAGTGTAGTATCAAATAATGGCATTCGACTGGAAAAAAAAAAAAGGCCTATCAGCTGTAGCTGTGAAAGYACCAGGATTGTGCTCGTCATCTCTGTTAGAGTTTGATTCTAGATCAGTGGAAGTGAACATTGCTTTGTGATCAGACAGCTGGCAAATGCTTAAGAAACACTAAAAAAAAAAGAGATACATAGAAATAAGCTGGCAAGTAAATTTGTGGCTTTGTATTAGCTAACCTTAAAGTAAAAGAATGTAGGAGGAAAGAGGGAGTGTGAGCCCTTGCACTTCTTGAATTTGACAACTGAAAATGCAAACCTGAAACCTTGRAAAGCAAAGTGGTGGGATTGATTAGTCAAGCTGACAGGATGAACATGAATGTCCTTCAAGCACGTTCCTGCAAATTGTAAAATAATATCAAGAGTATTGCACAGCTACTTTTTTAAAAAACTTTTTTCTTTCCTTGCTGATACATGTTRCAAATTGAAAACCAGAAGTGCTCAACACAGTTGCCAAGACCTAGGTGTAAGTGCCATCTTTGAAGTGTTGAAATATCATTCCCAGGCTCCAGCTGCCTCTCCAGCAGAGCAAGACTCTCCCACTTGTCCCGTGCCAGGCTTGCCAGCCCTCTGGATATAATCTGGAGCARCTTAGCCTTTTTTTGATGCCTATTTTTGGGCAGACAGATTGAGCCTGAAATGTGMACCATGTGTAGAACAGGAGCTATGTCAGACAGCACTGTTTCATTATGTTTTAGTGGTGTAGCCAAGAATGCAATCTTAATTCAATCTTGCAATCCAGCCTCCAACAATAGCTTTCTAAAGCTGAGAAGGGGACCATGTAACATATCCGCTCAGATGCTTCATGTCTGATAGCTACTGTAGAGCAGTGCTAGAGATGGAAATTTAATTTCCTGCAGGAATTTGAAATTGAGTTCTCTTCCAAATTAAAAGTAAACAAAAGCATCTCAGAATTCTCAGTGAAGGAAGATGGGGGGCAAGAGACTTTAAAAAGTAATTATAATTTTTTAATGTTGAAATATTGCAGGTGATTTGAAAGGTGGAAGACTGAAATGTGCAGTTCTAAAAATGTTGAGAAATTCTGGTGTCAGTTTTTATTTACTCAGTTTCCTAAAACTGAGATTTATCAGTGTTTCTCCAGGTATCTTTAAATAGACAAACAGCAAGAAAAGTATTGCTCAAGATTCAAAGATTTTACCTCTGAGTGAAAGCAGCATCTGTCAGTCTGTGCATACAGTACTAAAGGAAAGATGACTAAGAAAAAATGGCCTCTTCCTGTAAATTCAAAATATTTGTATTACTTGTGGCTTTTATACCCTTTTCAGCTTTCCCTACATCAAGAAGTCATACTTGCTGCACCTGAGCCCTGATCTTGTATTAACAGGTTCAGAGAACATAATAAATAATCTCTGGAAGCAGTATGTAGATACATTCTGCTATTGGGTGGATCTTTAGTTAATCCTTTGCTGATGGCTTGATGTCACTGGTGTATGCCATGAAGCATTCAGAATTATTGTCCTAATTTCACTCAGTGTAATTGCAGATGTTCTTACTATACAGTTTGAAGGGATAATTATACCTTGCACTGCATGTAAAAAATATTTCTGTTAATTTAAGAGTATTAGCTTTCATCTTCACCACCCATCCTGTGTTTTGTGTTGTTGAGAAAGGGTGCTTGTTATATTTTCTCAGTGCAATTACAAATTTKTTTCTGCTTGTTCACATTTTCCTTAAAACAGATAGGCCAGACATCTTCCTAATGATTACAGACAGCACCAGATTTCTGTTTAGTCACCACTTCCACATCCTTCTCATTCCAGATTGGAAAAGATATTAACAAATCTGATCATCATGTTTTGGATAAGAGCAAAATTTTCCTCTTCTGCATTTGCACCTTGTAGTCTAGTGCATAAATTTTAGCAAAAGGTCTGCTTAATGAGCCAGATTTTGTTCACTGGCCATGTTTTCTTGCAAGTGAGGTAGCCTAGATTGAAAAGAACACTAACTTCTCTCCTCTATTCAATTCCAGAGGAMTCATCCATTCCTATTTGCAAATACCTCAAATCGCCTGTTTCAATTGACACATATGACATGTTGTGTTCTTGTTTAACTGGCTACATCAGGAAAATTAGCTCTTTYATCAAATACTTTCAATAAGTACAGCAAAGGGAAGAGATTTGTGAGAAGGCAGTAAGTTGCATTTCCTGAAAACAAAAAAAAATGTTGCGTAATTTGGGGTGTTTATGAGAATCCATGCTCCTTAACAAAAGATAAAAAGTCATGAATCTGCTTCAGATTTTTACCCATTTGTTTAACTGATAGTTGAGCAGTGTGAWGAGAGCTTATATCTCACCAACATCTTTATTAAATGCCTTTGACATGGCAGCAGGAATTGCGTGGCAGGATCCTCTAGTGCAGTGATCTCTAAGATTTTTGGTTATGCATCCCTATCAGCATAAACTTTTTGAGCTTGCCACCCTCATTATTTGTATACTTGTTTATTTATAGCTTTTCTACATGTACTGTTGAAGTTCTGATTTTTTTTTTTTTTGCACATCTCAGTGGACTGTCCTGCCTAATCCATGTATTGCATGTGCCCCACTTCAAAGATCACTGCTCTAGAGTAACACTCTGCAGCAATCTTCCATGAAAAGGGAACTGACTTTGTTAATTTTTGGAAAAGATGCCTCGTTGATTGCAGTCTTTTGAATTCATGTTTGATTTTGTTAATATGCTACTTTAAATCAGGTTTCTCATTTATTATAGAAAAATGAAAAAGATGGTAGCCTGTTGATTGAAAGTGAAACAAAACTGTTTCCCCAGTTGATTACCTGTAATTTTTTCATTTACTGAGCTGTTTTGAATGTACTTCAAATGTTGTTTCTCTTTTAATTAAAAATCTCTTTGTTGCAACTTTGCAATCACTGTGTTTTTGTCTGCTGTTGACAGAAAAGTCGTGAAGCATTGAGGGTTAAAAGCTCTYGAAGTTTACAAGAAATTTCATTTTGACAACAAGCAGAAAAATAAATTGCAATATCCATTGTCCATTTAGAGACTGAAGATGGAAGCGCCCTATTTGGTGCTCTAGTCTATTCTCTTCCCAGCACAGGACTGTTTGAAACAATACTTATTGTTGGGGCTTTTGTTGCATTCTTTCTGGTTTTAGAGTGATGATTTCAGTTACCTGAATGTAAGTACTACATGTTCTCTTACTTTWGTGCTGTTTCTGCTCAGCTTGTCATGTGGGTGGATTGAAGTACACTAACACACCCACCAAGTGCACATAGATGAAATGTGTTGTGCTGTGAACATGAAAATGCAGTTGTTTAGAGAAGTGTGATTCTCCTACTTTGTGAACCTGGAGACCTCTACCAATCTCCTCCCTAGAGTTACAGTCATCCTGTCAGTCTTTATTAATTTTGATCAGAGTCCCAGTGCAATCCTTCCTGCCTTGTCTGGTGGAGGCTGTGTCTTGCTGACTCCTCCCACCATAGGGCATCACTGGRGACATCATCAGAGACAGAGTAATCTTTTGGCCAATAAACAARCAAAGAGTCATTTGCAGAGGCAGGATTGTAAAAGTCAGGTTGCCCACTTGCTTTTCAGAGCAGGTGGGGGCGATTATGCTGGCAAATTCTGGTGGATTAAACTATCTTAAAAACATTTCTGTAAGAAGATATGAAATGGTGTGCTTACATGACTTAAGCAGACACAAACTCACTCTACTGTGTTGCCA